AATTGTCTGAAATTATTGGGAAAAAATATTCACAATTTTCCCAGTGAATTCAGTTTTTATCGAAGGAAACTTGGCAACGTCTGGAGGCTCATACGGCGTTTTTCCTTAGCACGGCGGAGTAGTCAAAGTTAACGTGAAAAAACGGCAACGTTGCGATGGTGACTGTTTTTGGATCTGCTCCAACGCCAAAACGCGAGTATGGTAGGGCAAAAAACTACCGAAGAATACTCACGGGAATTGAACTTTTTCTGCCTTCCTCCTATCAGATGCCCTCCCGCACTTTTGTGCATCACTATTTTTATTTTTTTGTCGAGTTTGGATCCTGGCGCCAAGCATAACTTTCTCGGGTGGTCTTCATTTCATGCAGTGGCGTGGCGTGATTCGATATATATCGATATTTCCCCATTTGAAGCTATGGTAAGTAATCGATTATAAGGTGTTCGCTGCGAACGCCCTGCTTATCGATATTTTTCCATATGTGTAAAAGGTAGATCATTCGATATATCGCAAAGCACGCCGCGCCACTGATTTCATGATAATTTAATCTTTCGATCCAAACCTATTCCCTTCATCCACACCTAGTTTGTAGGAATGGGTATATCGTCACCTCACTGGGAAAAAACACATTAGATCTAGAGTCCAGACTCTTGAAAACATCGACAAGAAAAAATACTCTCGATTCAATCGGATTTTTGCTTCAATTAAGAACCAAGCCTCTTAATTTGAGCGGATTTCCTTTTCATCTCAGCAAAAATCTGATTGAGTCAAGAGTATTTTATCTTGTCAATGTTTTCAAGAGTCTGGACTCTAGATCCAATGTGGTTTTTTTTTTCCAGTGCTTCCGGCCAAAGTATCACACGCGCCATGCGACATTTTAAAATTTCCGCCGCCATTTTATTTTTTTTACGGAGAAATTGTTCGACGAAGCTCGACGAAGCTGCCCAAGAATTTCACTGAATTTTTTACATTAAAAACGCGAAAAAGTAACTTAGAAACCAAGAAATACGCAATTCAAAAAGCGCATCTTCACAGCAAATTTAAAACTTCCAAGTTCGAGCCGAACGAATTCATCCAGCACCAATCGGAAACGAGCAGTTTCATGTTATGAAATAATCGATTCTCAGGCGAGACTTTGCAGCGTTGCAGTGCAATTCAGTCCCTCTGGCAGAGACTATTTTATTCATGCAATCTAATAGTTTCATAACTTATTCGTAAAGGGGAAATTACGGAACATACAATTTAATATTAGAGCGATTATGTGTCAAGAGAGGAGTTTGGTGGGAACTCCGCCTTGCGGAAATCACTGAGACACGATGTAAAATGGACGTATTTATGCTAAAAGGAGATATGTGCAAGTGGAAAGATGGGGTGTGCTCGTTAGTTGGGTCATAAGAAACAATGTAAAAGTGGATATAGCTCCTTTTGAGAAAATTGAGAAGCGGGATTTGACATTAAATCAAAAGGAGCTAAGCGGCAAAATATGCTAACTCATGAGCCGCGGGCATGGCAAGAGAGCGTTGTGGACAGGGCTCATGAGTTACAGCGCCCCGACGATGATCCCCGGCTCGTGCGTGGTCTCCTTCATTGCCGCTGACGTCACTGGCGCTTTATATTCCCCATTCATTCTTATGGCCCGGCCACTGACGAGCACACCCCATCTTTCCACTTCCACATATCTCCTTTTCGCATAAATACGTCCAAATGAGAGAGTACACCATCGAGAGCGTGGGATGTGTACTTTTCGCGGGTCAGAAAATCTCGACTAAATGCACGCACACCGCAACGTTTTTTTTTTTTTTTTGTTGAAAAATTAGAATTATTACAAAGGAAATTCGAGCTATTCTTTGTTTGGAGTTCCCAACTTTATGTTTTTTCACGCACAGATGAAAGAAGATCCAACTGGAATTTTTAACCCCAAAACTCTACCTTATTTTTACTCATTATACTATACAAATATGAGCATGTCGATGGCTAAAATGAAAAGACACGTTTCTCCAATTGCAACATTTCTAGACTCCGCTGATATTTTATTCTTTTGTAGAGTTAAACTCGCCATTTGGTTAAAAACGGCGCATTATATCTCTAATTCTTAATAAACGAATTCCAAAATGCTTTATCGATGCTATTTCCAGAGGTAAAGTTGATGACTAACTCTTGGAAAATGATTAAAAAATAGGCATAATTATGATTAAAGCGCTTTCAAATGTTGTTCTTCGTCACAATAAATTAGAGGGATTCTTTCGAACCGAGCGACTGGTTTTTTAAGTTTCCTATACATTTTCATCACTTATTCAAACATCTCACAAAAAATTTCTTGTGGAGATATTTTAGGAGGTTTTCTTTGAAAGAAGTAAAACATACGGAAAAATGTTTGGAAGTTGCACCGTAGATTCCTCCCCCCCCCCACCTTTGCCATCGATCTATCGACAAAGAAACTACCAGATCACGTATCTCGATTTGCGACGTTGCAGACTTCCTGTCATACTTTAATCTTTAAATGTAAAACCATGCAACGAAAATTCTTGAAAACTTCCGTGATTTTTCCTTTTTGTGAAGAAAAATCTGTAAAAACTTCAAGAAAAGGCATTGGTTTGTTCTCCTTCCCTGAAAGAAAATGGGATAGCGGAGATTTTTAAACACCACAAATGAGATACGTAATCTGTTAGTTTCACCGCCGATGTGTGTTTGTTCGGTCGGGTATGAATTGTGTACGACGTTGCACGATTGGATCTTATACGCGTCATTTCTGATGGAAATGTCTCTATTTCGAAAGAAAGAAAATAATTGGGGGCAACCAGCCATTTCTGATGAAAATGTCTCTATTTCGAAACAAAAAAATAAATAGGAGAAGAGGCAGAGTGCGCCCAATGAGCGAGGTTAGAGGGAGAGGATTGAAGCAGAAATGTTAAGGTGCTCAATGCCCTGAGGGTTGTGGTTCGACAGAGAGCAGTGGAGGTTAGGTGTCGTAGAACGCGAGGGAGTGCTATAAAGTGACCTATATGTATGTGAAAAAGAATTCTGATAAAAATGTCTCTATTCCGAAACAAAGAAAATAATCGGGGACAACCAGTTGTAACTGCAGTGCATTTTCATTGAATTTTAATTTTATTTTTACATCGTATAAAGCATAACTATTGAAAAAAAAAAATGATGAAAGCGTGCCTCCAGCTACTGACGATAGGGACTATGGCACTTCAACTCATTTAAACGTATTTATGCTGATAAAAAAACACGTACAGATACATTACAGAAAAAGAAACGATGAACAGAGGGTTTGCATGCTTCATGGTTCATTTTAATTCAATTAATTTGTGCATAGTTCCTTACGGCGCCGATACGTTCAATTACGAGCATTTCGATTTCTTTCTCGTGGGAGAAGACGAAGTTGCATCGAACCGGAAAAATTACTCACGACGCCATGCTTTCCCATTAAGTGCAATAATTTATATCGAAGCGACTTCAATCGAGTTGACGAATGCACCCGCGACCAATCGATGAATACAGAAAAAGGGGAAAATAAAAAGTACGGCGATGAAAATAGAATTAATGTAAATACCCCGCAGCTGTATTTTTTTCCGTCCCACCGATCGGTTTTGATTTGCTAATGTTCTGCTCCCCCAGGTCTCCAACTGATGTTCTTTTAAACTTACGCGTTGTCAGAGTTATTGCAAAGAGCATTTCAGATGCAGGCAATCGAGAAGTTGCACAAAAGCATTTTATTGCTGCATCTGAAACATCTTAATGCGCCGCGTTTGTAGTATTTTTCATAGGTTTTTCTGCTATGCACTGAAAAAAAATTCTCGGCGTTTTTACCACGATCCGTTGGTACCTTTACCATCTCACTTTTTGACCAATTATTGGTAATTTTACCAAGACAGACTGGTAAGCTTACCTAAAAACCGGTATTTTTACTGTTTTTTTTTCAGGTAAGAATACCACTTTTATTGGTAATCAATTCCCGGTAACTTTGCCATTTTATCTCGGTAATTCTACCACAGTCGATACAAATTATTGGCGTTTTTACCAAGGTCCGGTAAAATTACCGAGAAAGTTCAATAATTTTACCGAGATTTCTCGGTAAAATTACCAATTCCATAAATGGTAATTTTACCAAGAAAAAACTGGGATCAAATAGAACCCTGAATTCTTGGTAATTTTACCCTTTTCTTGGTAAATACACCGAGATTTTTTTTCAGTGAGGGAAATTGCAGAAAAACAGATTTAAAAGTGAGAGAATCTGCTTTGTGACGTCATCAGGCGGCTTTACCATTGAACACGTGTATTTCAGCGGATTGGGTCATCTGGTATAAGTCCTTCAATTATTTCTGATTTTAGGAACAAAGTACATTCTCGTGCTCAGTTCACTCAATAGTTTTTCTTAAACATGATTTTCACAAAATTTCAGACACCTGCAAATTCACCATTGTGGCAATTTTCAAGATTGTGATTTATTCTAGTTAGATCTGAGGAATTTGAGTTTTCGACGGGAGAGATACTGCAAACTCCAAAGAATAAGCTGCGGAAAACTTAATTTGTTTTTCAGTCAAAGGAAGAGGGTGTAAATCACATTTCTCACTGTCACACGAGTATGCCGCAAGTAGTTACACAAAAAAGAAAACTATGTCAATCGATTTTCTTGAAAACAATGTATTAGGACTAAAAACCTCATACCATCATGGTTTCAGTGTAATTTGTGCGCATTTGTGTACCAAAAAGTTTGTAACACACTCCTGTAAGCAGTGATATCGTTCACAGTTCAATTTTACGTTTGTCGGTGCATGGAGACTCCTTTTCTTATGACCGGTCGTATTACCTACGATTTCACCACGCCAAAAATGACTCGGACGTAAAATTTCTTCATACTGTTATAGTAGGAAAAATATATAAATATAAGGTAAAAAAAACCAAAAAAAAACGAATGCATGAAACCTAGTGAAATCCTCCATTCGCAATCAATTAATAAATGAAAGATTCTGACAAGAAAAAAAAAAAACGCTTACCAAAATATCCCGTCATGTCCATTGGCATTAGTTGAACGAGTCTACTACATTTGGCTAGTTCCCTTATAAATAGTTGGCACATGAAGAACAATAATACTAAATGAGGGTGGTCAGCCGGGATTCCCTCAGCTACGGCACTGAAACAAGAGAGAGAAAACCAAATTAAAATTTGCAGGTGACACATCGTTTTCAGCTGATATATAATTAGAGAGTGAACAGGCGAATGGCTTGAATGAAGTATTTGACATCTTAAACAGTGGCGTGACGTGAATTGCGATATATCGATTTTTATTCCATTTAGACCTATGGAAAAGCATCGATAAACAGGGTGTTCGCAGCGAACACCTTAATGATCGATTCGTTACCATAGGTTTAAATGGCATAACAATCGATACATCGCTTTTCACGCCACGCCACTGATCATAAAAGCCATCGCGTTTAGGAGACCAGCTCCTATGTTTTAAAAATAAATCTTTAATTTTTTTTAGAGTCTGTGAGATAATAGTGTGACCAAAAAAAAAAAAAAAATTAAAACAATTAAAGTAACATTTTATAATTTCAATATCATTGATGACTCCATAAATTCATTACAAGTAATTCAAATTATGCTGATTAAAATAGATAATCCAAGAACTCTTTCTGTAAGTAACAAAATTATAAAATATAAAACATTATGATTCGCTAAATATATCATCTCGGTAAAAAAAACAGTACCAAACATTTGCTACATTCAATGATTCAAAAAAGTAAGTTTTTTGTATCAGAACCGCTGCTGAAGTGGCTATTTTGAAACGTGACAACGCAATTGTATTACATTTTGCAATAAGGAAGCACTATCTCTGGCTCCTCCATAAAAGTAATTTTCTGCATAGGGGAACCAATGGCACATATGCTGTTTCTAAAATGAGCCAGAAAAAGTGGTTCCTCATTGCAAAAGGTGGTCCAATTAATATTCCGATTAAATCCATTAAAAATATCGTTTTTAGGTAAGGCACGCTGCTTCACCAAGAATCGATTGTTTAACATACTTTTACATGGAGGCAAAACAGTGATGCCAACATTTAAGACACGCTGCTCCGTCGTCGTCGTTTTCACCACGCCGCGCAGCAAGCGGCTTATGCTGTAGGCAACGAATTAAAAGATACAACTATTCGATCTCCGCTGCGGTGATTTTGCCTACCCTTTCAGTTGAAGGAAAACTGGAGCTCGCAATGACTTCGGCCGGCGCGGCGCGGCGTTCGGTTTGCCTCAATCTCTATGTCGTTACGAACGAATTAAAAATACACGTCTATCGATTATGATGTCATGAAGTTTCCGCTCAATTCGTGTTTTTAAGGGAACACGAGGCGAATCACTTTCTTGAAATTATTTCTAAATACTTTATTGTGAAGAGTTTTTATAAAGCTTCCAAAAATGGTTGTGTGTGTTATCCAATAAGGATTTTGGATAAGATGTTAACACGATTTAACCCCCATTAAAATCTATTGCACTGTTAAACGTGGTTCAATTATAGTTATTTTGGCGTGCTGAGGAAAAATGCCGTATGAACATTTGAATGATGTCAACTTCCCTCCGTAAAAAAATTATTTATAGAGAAATGCATATTTTTCCTTGAAATTTTAGGTAATTTCGATGAAATGGCGAACAAAATTGTCTGGAAAATTGGAAGAAAAATATTTACAACTTCCCCAATAAATTCTTATTTTATCAGAGGAAATGTAGCAACGTCTAAAGGTTCATGCGGCGTTTTCCTTCAGCACGACAGTATTGATCCATATAACTAAGCTACAATTTTGGGTCATGTCTGTTTTTTTGAGATCTAGTTCATTTGAGACTTATGAACAGAGTAAAGTTCAATAAGCGTCTGGAAAAATTTCAATCAGGCCGAAAGCCCCAAAATTGTCACTGAAAGAGGCAGTACTCTTTTTTAATGTTCGAAATTCGATGTTACCAACTCGCCGAAAGATTCGATTAAAATCACCATCTGGTTAAAAACGGCACCATATCTCTAATTCTTATTAGTCGAATTTCAAAACGCTCTTCCTATGCTATTTCCAGAGATAAAGTTGATTACTGACTCTTGGAAAATCATTAAAAAATAGGCACAATTATGGTTAAAGCGCTTTCAAATGTCGTTCTGCATCACAATAAATTAGAGGGATTCATCAACTATTCATTAACCCTTCATTAATTATTCTCAGAAATTTTAACGCTTCCGGCTTACCTTTTTCCAAAAACTCAGGTTCCATTTACGCACTTATTAACATTAGGATAGTTATTGGATTGTGTAGCACGGAGTAATTCTGCCGTGCTAGGAAAAAACGCCGGATGCGCCATCAAGCGTTGCCAAATTTCCCTCAATAAAATAAGAATTTGTAGGAGAATTTGTAAATATTTCTCTTCTAATTTTTCAAAGGATTTCATTCGTAATTTATTCTACAGTATCTGAAATTTTCAAGAAAATATACTTATACATTTCATGAAAAATGAATATTTCATCCCCAGAAATTGGGCAACCTTCGAATGTTCATACGACGTTTTTCCTTGGTGCGGTAGAATTGCTACACGTGGCACAATCTATCACAGGAAATCTTAATCACCCGGCCTACACCTTCCCTGGAACAAAAAAGAGCACCGTGCGGGGATGTAGAAAAATTAATTCTCTTCGGAGAAATTTTGTAAAGCCTCTGGAGTATTCTCAAAATGAAGAATATCATTTCAGTGCGCAAAAAGTTGACTCACGTGTCCTCATTCCACCGAAAAGAGCTTTGGCCATTCCGCGAAGCAAGCAATCATAGAATCCAAGGCTCTTCCGGGAATTTTGAAGTAATTGCAGACCGGTAGCTCACGCTGAAAGTCATTATGGACGTTTACGAAGCTTTAATTGTGACGTCATTATTTAAGTGGAGCCTACGTGGAAATTTCCGTGATTAACACGATTAATGAGATGGTAGCCTATGTTTACATCAAAATGAAATTCTGTCCGTCGAAAACGCAATTACGATTTTGGGTTTTTACCACTGGCGCGCCGTGCTTTGCGAGATATCGATCGATCTGTCATTTAAACTATGGAAAAGGATCGATAAACAGGGTGTTCGCAACAAACATCTCAATAATCGATTCTTTCAAATGGAGAAATATCGAAAATCGATCATTCAGGCTCCGCCACTAGTGTTTACCAACACCAGTATATGGATGAGGAAGAATGTAAAAGGTTAACCATATAGGGTTAACCTTTCGGCCAAAGTATCACAAACGCCATGCAACGTCTAAAATTTCCTCCTCCATTTTATTTTTTACAACAAAATTGTTCAACGAATCCGTCCGAAAAATTCACTGAATTATCTTTGTGCTGCCGACAAAGTTCAGTGAAATTTTCAAAAATATTCAACCTACAATTTTTCTGTAAAAAATATACAACGGTGACGGAAATTTTGAAACGTCGCATGGCGCTTGTGATACTTTGGCCGGAAAGTGACGATTTCCTGATTCTATACGCAATCTCCAGGAATTCTCGTAACTAGTACTAAATTTTTGTCTGTGTTCAATATTTTATTAGTTAAGTTTACAAGCTTTTCCCCGGTGCAAAATTGATGCGACTTAGGTGGTTCTCTATTGAACTCGGTCGGGTTGGTTCAATGATATTTCACTGAAACTCGGAAAAATCTTACCTTGCAAGTTACAGGGTGGGTATAATTTATTCCTAGAGCCGATGAACAGAGCTCCCATCGGGGTGCCGAGCCTAGTCCCGTTTCTGGGATTGTAAAATCCCTGAAACTTTGTAAAGGTATCCTCTTGAAACTAACGATTACAGAGTTGGAAGCTTAACGAGAAATGAACGGACTCATTAGCGTGCTTAAATCGAATTACTTCTGCACAGTGCCACAGGCGGGGTTGTCAAATAGATTTTTAAGTGGGATTATGAAGTAATTGATTTCAGCATCATGCAGAAAAAAGGAGGGAGAGAAATAAATTCGGTGAAGTCAGTAGTTCTTTTCGTGATCGATAACTTCGCGTTGGAGTAAAATTTCGTCTTCGAGACCCGAAATTTGGGTCGAATGGACCTCTGAAGTTTTTCCGCTGGATCATCTGAAAACTTGAGATTCAGCTGCTGAAGTTTGGTCCACGCATCTAAAACTCGGTTGATACTTCTGTTGAAACTTCTATGGAGCCACCCAAGCTTCAGTTGTAGGTACGATCAAAACTAATGGTAAACACGATATTTCTAAAATTTGCCAAAAATAGTATTTCCGTATCGTAAAATTTGATCCAAATAAAATACAAGTATCTCACTGATACGAACTGAAAAAGATAGTTGCTCTCATAAAATCAAATTGTTCGTTTCGTGTGACCGAAGAATTTGAGTGTCACATACGGTCGGAAGTTTGACTCTGAGGAAAATACTATATCGGGTAGCATTTCATAAAAAAAAACCGATGAAATATATTTTGAGGATGGAGTTTCACGCATTAA